TATAGGCAAAACTTTGAAATAAATATGTATAAAGTTGTACTTAGCATAATTTACTCGTTGGTGCATTATTTTTACCTGGAGACTTTGATCATGTCTGCTGTCTTAGACTTCAGCTCTGATATAAAACTGAAGTAGCAAGGACAAATTCTATGAGCTGTCCTTGCGTCAGCTACATTGTGGTACAGGAAATGGACCCGGTGATTCATTCTAAGTCTTTTCTCGTCTCTTTGCTGTTTCCCAGGCACCATCTATGCTCCTCGAAGGAAAGGACAGCTGTCTGCAGACATTTGTATGGAGACAATAGGAGAGGAAATCTCAGAGATGCGCCAGATGAAAAGGGGCGTATTTCAGCGAGTGGTGGCCATTTTTATCCACTACTGTGATGTCAATGGAGAGCCAGTTGAAGACGACTACATTTAAAGAGATCTTCCCTGACTCTTCTGCCTCAGAACGGTCAAGAAGACTACACAGGAAACTTCGGGCTTGGAATTGGGAGGCCCTGGCTCAGTTTGTTATATAGGAGATATATAAGGAACATGGAAATTGTATACAAAGATTTATATATAGAAGAAATATACAAAGACATTTCCAAAAGTAACATCTTTATATCCTATGTTTATACATCTTAATTTAAAGAAGTCATTTGAATGAAGGCAGATAATTGACAATTGATTCTGTTCCCTTTTCCTGACTTAGTTCTCAGTGCCGTGTGAGTGAGCCCATTTTCTCTGCTACTCGCCATTGTCCCTTCAGTCTGTGCCTTTTCTCCTTCAGCAGAGCTTCTGCGTCAGTGCTAAAGAGTGCTGTGTCCTGTGTGTTTCGTTAGTAAAATGCCAACTAACCCTCAGTCAGAGAAGGCTGTCTCTGTACTATGGTGGGCTTCTGTTTTTCTTAGTGTTTATATTTGGCATATTTCTTTAAATGAAAAGATCCACAAACTTAAAAAATGAATTTGGAGGGCAAATAGAAAGTTTTCAGAGCATTTCTAGTTATTTATTTCCGCATTCAATTGTGTATCTGCTTTATCTTGAACATGAAAATAAACATTTAGTAAAAACTTTATTGTTGCCATGGACTTGAAACTGTATTTTACGGCAGCAGTGCTACACAGAGAAGCAGTGTGTGGTTGTGTCTGACTCAGCAACGGTGTCCACTTTCTGATCCCATTTCAGAGTGTGGCCATGAGCAGCGCACCACACGAACCACACGAAAGCTGCGGGCTGCAGAGCTGCGGCAGAATGCTGAGGAAATGGGCCACGGGCTCGTTCAGAGGAACCGCCTTTCTCTTGCAGCTGGAGGCTGCCTCCTGCGGCAGTGGTGGTGCTGTTCACTCTCAGGGGCATCACCAGATGACTTTGCCATTCGATAAATAAGTGACCTTTAACAGGCTTCAGAAGCCAAAGGCTAAAGTCAAAGGAATTATGGTCTCGAAATGGTCAGGTCTTTCAGAATTTGTTCAGCCCCTTCCTTTTCCCTGGGTTTAATTAAGGCCAAGAAAGGAAAATATCAGTCGTCCATGATCAGGACTTGGTGTTTGCTGGATAAGACATGAATTTGGTTTATGATCCCAACTGTATAGACAGACAGGCACGGGTGCTGGTGAGCTTCCCTAACACTGGACTCCTGCATGACAGGTGCCCGTGTCTTCAAAACTTTTAAAATTCTTGACTTGCAAGGTTTTTAAACATCTTAAATATGATTGGATAGTTCATCTTTTGGTTGCATTGGGGTTTTGTTTTTTAGCCCTTTTTTTATTTAAATTTTTTAAATTTTGCACACTAGCCCAGTTATCCTTTCCTCCCCTTCTCCCACCCCCTCACCTCATCCCATCTCAGCTCCATTCAGTCAGTAGAGGTAGTAAGGCCTCCTTGGAGAGTCAACAAAGTCTGGTATACCATTCTCCCCACAGATTGAGGTACATAACTGTCACCCAAATTCAGGGGTCATTGCATTGTTTTTTAACTGTTTAGTTGACTGCTCAGGTTATAACTGCTCAGTAAGAGGCAGGATACAAATGCAGAATAATAACCTATAGTTCTCAGCAAGAACCAACCCCGCTAGTTTCCTCCTCGCTGTAGCAAGGACCTCAGATAGACAATGCTTACATTGGCCACAAGAGGTAGCCGCTCTTTAACGTTACTCAGTTGCCAGTCATCACAGACTCCTTGAATACAAAGGGGCCCTAAGATCATTAATAAAGATGCTGAAGGTAGACAACCGAAAACACAAGAGTAGAAGCCACCCACTCTCAGACACTTGGTAAATATGAACAAACAGCTAGGAGTGACTGTCTTATAGCAAGGTCAGCAAGTGTGTGGGCTAGAGAGTTAATATTTTATGTTCAGTGAGCCATAGACCTCTGATGGGTAAGCCATGAACAGCACACAAAGATGGTCATATTATGACAAAACTTTATTTATAGACAGAAAATTGAATTCCACATAATATTCACATCACAAAATAGTACTCTTGGGTTTCAGCCGAGACATACTAAAAAGCAAAAACCATTCTGCAGGTTTGCAGACTACATCTTGGCCAGTTTAGCAACACCTCATGGACAGCTGAGTTTTCCATCCATTCAGTTATGTCACCAGCTTTGTGGTACAAAGGTCTGCTTTTAAAAGACCTTAAATAGTTCACAGATGACCTCTGACTGAGCATCAGGATCAAAAAGAACCGTGTGTCTCATGCTGCCAGGCCCAGTATATGGATCTAATACTTTAAACAATAGCCGACACTGAGTCTTAAGGTGACTTAGTACCTGCAGTCAGAAGTCCTGGATTCAGATTCTGACTTCCTCAGACAACAGCTCTCACCAGGAGAAGAGTGCTCTGTGGTGGAGAGGCCAGAGCTGGAGCCTCTCTTTTGGTCATTGTAATTTGGTCGTCTGTAAAGTGATAATAGTTACCCACCCCCACCAGGCAGGGGTGAGGGTTCAGCGGGAACATCCAGTATAATCCCAGGTTTATTATAAAAGTCAGGTTTGCTTGGTTTTCTGGGTTTCGTGTCTGTGTGTGTGGTTTTTGTCAGTTTATTTTCATGGGTTTTTTTCCTTAATATTTCCTTAATGTCCCTTAGACCATATCCTAGGATAGCGATCTTTGAGAACTAGACAGGCCTTAGAGAGGAGGCCACACTTGACACTAGCATCTTGAGTTGGTTACCATGCCTCCTAAGCTTGTTCACATCCAATTTAGCAGTATAGATAGATACCTTGCTAAAAAGCAGGTGCTTAGGATTGCTGGATGTGGGTGTTTTTCAGTCTGACTCCAAAGAATCCCTCCAAGGAAAAGGAAGTCAGGTGAGCCCCATTGTGAGGCTGGCTCTTGCCCACAGGGCAACGGCTGTGTCTCAGCTGCTGCTTCATCCTGAAACCGTCCAGCTGACCTCGTGGAAGACATTGGATGCAGTCGGGTACTGAATCTCCCACTCTGCAAGACTGGCAGCATGAAACACATGTGTATTGGTGTGAAGTGATGTGCAGTGTTGACTGCTGAGAGGCAAATAGCGGATCACATACAGCATCACCTTAGTCGTAAACAACAGCGCACAACCACAAATTACTGAACTACATATGCCAAGTGATAAGTCCCCGCCCCCACCCACCTTGGGAATGGAGTGGCACTGAACTGGGGTCAAGAGTATTTACCTTATCAGTGTTATGGGGCTTTTTTTTATAGTGGGAATAGACTACATAAATGCATCATTTATGTAAACCATAATTTACGTAGGAGGGGAAAAAAATCACTGTGCCAGGATAGGAGGACCTATGTGTTTCCATCCATTTGTCACATTTCCTTGGGCAAGTCACTTGCTGTGACCAAGTCTTGTCTATAAAAATGAACCAGTAATCACACCACAAGCTGTTATGAAGTTCTGAGAACTTGTGAAAGGGCAGATAAACTGTAAAGTGCCCATAGTGGTGAGCAGATACTATGAAAAACAGGCTTGCATCCAAATAGTTTAAGTTCAACCAAGAAGTCTGGAGAATTCAGATTGCCTTCTGCAGGGGGCCTTGATGAAGGTTTGCAATATTCAGGGTTCAACCATTTGCCTCAGTCTGCTGCTGGCTACCCAGTAACCCCAGGCTCCGAGTGCTAGAGAGCCTTCCTGCTGCTCATCCCTGGACCAGAATACCTCCATCATTTGATTTAATTATGGAAACAATGCCCAGGGAAGAAAACAATAGAGCAAGTGAATGGCAGAGCTCAGACCAGAACAGGCACAGCTCTGGGTCCCTAGGTGATAGGGGAGGGACGTGGCCATGAGAACAAAGCTTGTCCCTGCTCTCTCCTACCACAGCCCAGTACTTCAATGCATCCTCCCATTGAAGGCCATTGGGAGTGTTGAAGATGGTGGACTACGGAATCGGGAGGCCTGGGCCTCCATTCCACATCCATACTTGTCAGGTTCGTCACCAGATGTTTTCTCTGCTGAGGTTTGCTCATTTTTAGTGGGATGTAGTTTTGGTACTTGCAGTAAAGGTGTTCATGAGAAAATCCATGAAAAGCACTTAACCAAGTGCCCAGTGGAAAGGAGTTAGTTAGCTTCTCTTGCTGTTGTCTTACTATTCATTAAGTTCAGAAGGTGCTAGAGTAAAGGAGACGCAACCTGGATTAAGTACAACGCTAATAAAAATAGTAAGCAATTTGTTTCCCTTCTATCTTTGTTTCCAAAAACATGGAATGTAATTTGTACTAAGTGGATGAATTTCTATAGCTTGGGATCCAGTTTAAATTCTTGTGATATTTCCAACTCCCAGAGAGGAGATAGGGAGACCCTACCAGCACGTGTTTGTCTTCCTGGGACATGAAGAGGCAGGGGACATGCTCTGAGTATTGACATCTGGTTAGTATGTAACAGCGTGATGTTATTTTTATTTATCTCTATGGCTGCTTTCTATTTACAGCAAATAAAGCTGATTTTCTATTTTGGGTCTGATAAAGCATTTCCTTCTAAACTAAATTCCTGTAAGTGAAATGAAGATATTACATAATTAACAGTACAGGCAAAGCATATCTTGTAACAGTGGCTTTTGGTGACCCATGTTGGGATGTTCACGCAGATACAGCCAGCTCAGAGACCGTCTGCATTTCGCAGAATAGAGCGAGGAAAGTTCTGCTCAGAGCAGAGCAACAGTATGCCTGAACCCAGATATTAAGTCAGTCCCTGTGCTGGCTACATTCAAATCCAATTCTTAGTCTTGGTTTCCTAGGTTGTGTGCAAAGAGTCCACTTTTGGCCAAAAAGGGCAAAAAACGTTTTCCTCGTAGGGGCAGCTTTTGAGCACAGCCAATTGCAGGAAAGAGGGAAAGAAAAGTAGCTTGCATTGCTCACCTAAGAGAACCACAATGCCAAAGAGAAATTGCTGGACAGCACAGCACCAGGATGACACTTCGTTCTCACTTGAAGATAATTTGGTTGTTGCTGCTCTCTGGTCTCTCACTGAGTCCCCTCCCTCAACTACCCACAATGCCCCTGCCCTACCCCATTTCCCAGATAGTTGTTTCAGGGCAGAGCAAGCAGGAAGTGGAAATGTTACTGAGAGGCAAAGCTGAAATCTGAAAGTTGGTTTTGTTCTTTTGTTTTTAACCAATACATTGTAGGTTTTATTTCTTTTACTTTCTAATTGCTAATGGAGAGGGCTGGTGACCTGGACCAGCAGGCTGTTCTTCAGTGACAGCCTTCTAAGTTGGAAGGCCAGAAGAGAAGATAGGAAAACCAGGACTGAGAGGATTTGCACAAGCTGTGTCTTATGCCAAGCAAGCTTATTTAAGAAGTAAAGCATCTTTTGTATCCTATTTTCTGAGGGAGAATGGCCAAGGTCGACAGAAAGCTAAATCAGTCAATGTTGATGAGAAAACATGGGCTATCGCAGGTGCAGCTGCCTTAGGACTGATAACCACAGCCCTTCAGAGGGGAAACTGGTTTCCCAGGAACTGAAGCCTTAACTCCTTCAAGGCCCAGGCCTCAGACCGGGCCTTGCCAAGTCTGCTCCTGGGCAAGGAAAAAAACTAACATGCCCTTTTTCCTTTCATCCAGATCTCTGAGCCTAGGATCATTCTGGCTCCCAGCAAGATGGGCTGGGATCTTCAGAACTGGGCATTTCTATGGACTGCAAAGTCAAATGGAGAGAAACACAGTGAATTAATCCCTTTATCCCTGGCATGGAGACAGACTTCATTAAACATCCAAGTAGTTGCCAGTGTTCATCTGGCCAGAGTAACTGGACCACAGTCTCCTCTTTCCTATCTCATCTTAACAGCAGCCTTCCTGAAAGAGGACTTTTTAGGAAGAGGACAGGTTTGGGTCTCCTTGAAGCCTGGGCCGCTGTATGTCTTCTGCGTCTTCCACCCTCAAGCCGTCTGGATTGTCTGGATTCCTGGAAGCCATGGATGGAACTAATGCTGTAATAGCAGCTCTCCAGACAGAATGAATCCAGTCTTGCCCCATGAATTCGCATTTGGTCTATCATCATGTCATCTTGTCCCTAGTTCCTTTCTTCAGGTTTTTTTTTTTTTTTTGAAAAGAGAGAAAGGGACTCAGATCTCTATCTAAAGTGTTTAACTTCATTGCTTTGTGAGGGGTGACCATCCTTCTCAGAGACAAGGATGCCATTGTGACCTGTCATCACGGGTGAAGAAGGAACGGCACAGGAAGTAGAAAGGCAAGGAAAACTTGGTATGATGACTGAGATCTGTGACCCCAACACTTGGATGATGGAGGTAGGGAGGACGGAGTTCAGTTCAGCCTCAGCTACATAGTGAGTTTAAAGCCAGCCTGGGCAATGCCAAACCCTGTCTCAAAAAAGTATAAGGGGAGAAAGAAGTGAGAATGGTGGAAGAGTGGGAGAGAGAAGAGGGAAAAAGAATGAGGGGTTAGAACAGGGCAAGGAGAACTTTTGGTTGAGGCTCCGGACACATCCTGATCTTACAGTGTGCCGCCCAAGGATGCCAGGCCATGCCCACCTTCCCCATTCCCCGCGTTTCACCAGCAATAAATCAAACTGGTCCTTGTCAGCAGAAAAAAATGAAAGAAAAACTCTTGTTGAGTTTCAAGTCTTCTCTCTCTCTCAAAGACATAACTTACCCAAGACAAAGAAGGTGATGACAGATTTAGCATGGGAAAGAAAATACCTCTTGGGTTTAGAACAAACAGCGTTCTGCAAAATATTTGTATGATGGAAGCATAGTAGCTTCAAAGCTAGGGTTCAATGACAGCTCCCAATACAGAAAGATGGGTTTGTTCTTTGCTCAAAGCGGAAAATGGCCTAGGACTAGACTATTGGGTTGTTCAACACAGGACCCTGACCATCCTTAAAAGGCAATCTCCATGGGAGCAAGTCACTTTCCTTCCTTAACGTTTTTTCTTGTTGTTTTTTTTTGTTTGTTTGTTTGTCTTAGAGTGTGTGAGTGTGTGTTGGGGCGGGGGTGCTGAATGTGCTTGAGTGTATGTTTGTGACCATGTGTGCAGGAGCCTGTGGCAGTCAGGAGTGGTGTCAGATTCCCTGGAACTAGAGTAACAAATGGTTGTGAGCCACTATGTAGATGCTGGGCGCTAAACTTGGGTCTTCTGCCAGAGTATCAAGTATTGTTCTCCTAAACACCGAGCCATCTTTCCAGTCCCCTACTCCCACCCCTCAGTTTTTGAGTTGTGACTGTTCCTTGTCAGCATCCATAGCAATAAGGGTCCAGGTTTAATGTCATGGAAGGGAAGCAAATAAAGATTCATTCCAGATGACCCAGTGGGAAAATGACAAGTTTACACACATGCGTGCACGCGCCTGCGCGCGCACACACACACACACACACACACGCTGTATAGAGGTCCTTTGGTAATGGATCCAAAGCCAAACTGTAAGCAGAGCCTTTAAAATCTGTCCTGGAGGGGGAACTATTACCTCAAGTAGTATGCTATGATAAGAAATAAGGGAGGGAGGAAGGGAGGAAGGAAAGAAGGAAGGAAAAGAAAATGTTTGTAGCTGTAAACCAAACTTCCTGACGCCCTTCATGTCAGTACTTCAGTGCTTCTGGACAGACAACTGGACCCAGCAAAGCGGTCCAGAAGACTGCTGGAAAGAAGAGGAAACTGAAGGTGTTCCACTGAGAGAGAAGACTGAGGGGTGGGTGGGGGGAGGCGGGTCATTTCCTTCCAATATCTAAGGCTTTCTGACAGGAAGAGGAGACCGAACTGCTCTGTCCTGACAGAAGCTAGAGCACAGCAGACTCGTGTGCCAATGAACGACAGAGCTTCCACGTGATTAGAGCATTTCCACCACAGAAGGGGCTGCGTTAGGAGGTAGTGAGCTCCTGTCCCTGGAGAGGTGCGAGCAGAGACTGTCCTCATGTCAGTATGCAATGAGAGGTGCCCCTCGGGCTCTGGTACAACGCTGGGTCTGATGATGCCTGAAGTCCCCACACAATTTGGAAGTCCTTGATGTGCTGGATCCAGGTTCCACTCAACACCACCTTCCGTGTATCTTCACTGGGCGCTGGTACCCCATACTTCATGCGTCACTGGTGATGACCAGGGTCAAGAGTGTGTCCAGGGGGTCCTGTTCATGCAGACATGAATGGGAATGGCTAGCCTGATGGCAAACCATGTCGTCAATCAAAAGCATGACTCCAGAGACTCTGGGTCATTGTGGATGGGCAGTTTCTCCAGTTCCTGGTGATGTCTACTGTGCAAAACGGTGTACCTAAGGAGGAAGGCAAGAAAGCAGAAGAGTTTCAGCAGGCACCCTTCAAAGGCATCAGAGGCACCATGTCACCTTTCCACACCCTTTTTTGAATGTATTTGAGGAATAGAGAGGTGGAAATGGAATGGGATGAATCTACACAGAGAGGGAAAACCAAAGCACCCATCTAGATTGTCTAAGTTAAAGGTGGGGAAATGGCATCCTAGGAAAATGGCATCCTAGGGGAATGGCATCCTAGGGGAATAGCATCCTAGGGGAATGGCATCCTAGGGGAAGAAGCCCTAGGGGAATGGCATCCTAGGGGAATAGCATCCTAGGGGAATGGCATCCTAGGGGAATGGCATCCTAGGGGAATAGCATCCTAGGGGAATAGCATCCTAGGGGAATGGCATCCTAGGGGAATAGCATCCTAGGGGAATAGCATCCTAGGGGAATGGCATCCTAGGGGAATAGCATCCTAGGGGAATAGCATCCTAGGGGAATAGCATCCTAGGGGAATGGCATAGTAGGGGAAGGAGCCCTAAGTTCCACAGAGAGCGAATGATAGAGCTGGGGCAAGGACCCAGATTCCTTTTTCCAAAGCGGTTCCTGTGCCACTTGTCAGAATAAACCCGCGAACAGTCGCAAACTAGACCTGAATAAGCCCTTACAGTCGCTCTCTGGTGCCCGTGCTAAAATGTTAATCAACTATCTGTTGTGGTTTCTGATGCCAGACTACACCCTGTGGCCTTGATTGAGGAGGGAAGATGCACACAACTCGTGTTCTGAGGGACTGTCCTTCAAACCAGGCAGCTGCCATCTTAGGGCATTCATCTATACTCTCTGGAAAAAAAAAATCCCATCTGGGATTGTTTACAATTTACACCCCCTCCTGAGTATTCAACTGCCTCCATACCAACTGACTACCCTGCACATGGTCTGAAGGAGGATCGTGTGTGTGTGTGTGTGTGTGTGTGTGTGTGTTTGTGTGTGTGAGAGAGAGTGTGTGTGTGTGTGTAAATGTGTGAGTGTGTGTGAGTGTTTATGTGTGTGTGTGTGTGTAAATGTGTGAGTGTGTGTGAGTGTTTATGTGTGTGTGTGTGTGTGTGTGTGTGTGTGTGTGTCTATCTGTCTGTAAACAGATGCTCCTAAAAGCCATGAAGTTGGGGATCCCAGTGCTAGGAGTAGGTTACCTCCTTCGGAGTTGTTAGCCACAGCGTCCTAGGAGTCCTAAAACAATAGGCTGTGACCACAGTTGCTCGCCGCCTTCCAGAACTGAACCAACTGTTGCTAATTGCTAAAGAGGTTGCATGCTTTCTTTGCCTGCCAGACTTAGAAGGCCCAAACCCCAGCTGCCTGCAGGCATACCTGTGAACATCCGTACCTCCTCAGATTGAACAAGTATTGAGAGAAAATCAAACTCTCCATCAGCTAGTTGTATAAGCTGACCAAGCCAGCTATTCCTGTGTACCTGACACCTTTGAGGTAAGGGTCAAATTAACATCTGTCAAGCAGCTGGGCACATAGTGGGTGGCAGAATCTTCACACATGAACAAAATCAAGCTTAGAAGATGTGACTTTCCTAAGGTTGAAGTGGGATATGGGATAGTTAGGAATAAGAAGTATATGTATGGGTAGTTAAGAATTCTTGAGGCAGAATGCTTGGGTCCAAACCCTAACTCTGCCTCTCATTTGCTGTGTGAAGTTCCAAGGTTTCCGGAAAGTTGTGCCCATTAAATGAGAAAATTATCATCAAACTCTTGTTAATGACAGCCAGATACTGAATAATAAGCAACAGCGATAACCTGGTTATAAGACGTCTAAGGGCAGGACTTGAACCAGTTGAACCCAGCACTTAATTCCTGGTTTAGTGCAGAATCCCATTCCCGAGGAACTGACGTGTGTGTTGCCTGCTGCTAACTGATCACAGGGATGAAGGGAACTTTCAAGATGGCACGAGAGATGAGATAGCACACCTAGGGAGGGGTTGTCATCCCTCAGCAGGGCCAAGGTCTCCAAGCTCTGGTGTGAGATCTAACTGCCAGGCTGACCTGGGAGACACCAACCCCTGCGAGGGAGTGCTTGCATCTGCTGAGATTCATGACCTGGGAAAAGTCACTGCTGCTTCTCAAGCAGCCTGGAAGCAGCTGTCTGCTTTGTATTAATTTATTCAAACATGACGGGAGCCACATTAGGTTTGGTGATTACCTGAATCTGCAATTTGTTCACTGAGCAATTAGTATCAAACTTGGAGCAGCCTGGATAGAGCAATAATTAACAGCATCACAGTGCCGCTTCTCCCTGCCTAGCTTGGCACCACCGGGAAATGCTTAGACTTTAGTGCATAGGGCCTCAGGCCTCCTCTGGGCAACAGTCCTTGCACACTCTCCCTGAAGATACTTGCGAAATAAGAGCAGCTCCATTTAAATAGATCAAACGCTCAAGCAGATCAGAGCCCTGTTGCTTGGAATCCCAGATACTTCGGGAGCAGGTGGGTTATTTTTTTCCCCAATGTTTATGAAGAAACGAGATTTTTGCCTGGTGGTGGTAGCACATGCCTTTAATCCCAGCGCTCAGGAGGCAGAGGCAGGCAGATCTCTGTGAGTTTGAGGCCAACCTGGTCTACAAGAGCTAGTTCCAGGACAGGCACCAAAACAGAGAAACCCTGTCTTAAAAGAAAGAAAGAGAGAGAGAGAGAGAGAGAGAGAGAGAGAGAGAGAGAGAGAAAGAAAGAAAGAAAAGAAACAAGATTTTCAAATGTTGGGCATGTATTAACCCAACTACTCATTTTAAAATTCATCCTGTGGGCCTACTGAGGCTCAACCCGTCTGCCAGGCCTGGAGAAGCTGAGGTGGGGGACTGACACAGCTGTTGCTCATAGAGTTCCCAGTACTTGGTGAGCCACACAGTCAGGAGGACATCTGTAAAAATGTGATGTCCTTGGTGGTGCAGAGGGCATATGAGGAGGACACGAACCCAGTGAGGGCATCAGGGCAGAGATAAGAACAACAGCAAGTGGCAAAACCCACAGTGGTGGAGCAGAGCAGAGGAGGGGCATTCATTGGCCCAAAATGTGCTGTTGGCAGAGCCCTACGGCGCTAGGGCCATTGCCCGCATCCTAAGTGCAATCAGGAGACAGACCCAGGTGTAAGTAGAGAGAGGCCCTCATGTTCTGAAGGAAAATTAGGCTGTGGTATAGGCGAGGCTGTACTGGGACACAACAGCACATTGGGAGTGATATTAGCTTTCTGTTGCTACTGTAAAAAATTCCGCCAAACACAGAAGCTTGAAATAACATAAACTTCAAGTCCTACAGTTCTAGAGCCTATCAATCCAAAATGAGTCTCACGGGACTAAAAAGAAGGTGTTGGCAGATCTGCCTTCTTTCAGAAGGACAATTCATTCCTTGCCATTTCCATCTTCCAGCATTCCTGCCCACATTCCTAGACTTATGGTGTCAATTTGTTAACTTCTGCTTTTATTTTTATATGCTCCTTCTCTGACTTGGTCCTCTTGCCCATTCCTTATAAGAAAACCTGTGACTACTGAGATCCTCCACACAGTCTTGAGAACCCTGCCCACATCAAGACAACACAGAGTTCAACCGTATCATAATCAACCTCTCAACGGATGGTATAACATATTCAAAGGCCCTAGAGAACAGGATGTAGATCTAACTGAGTGGGCATCATTTCACCCAGCACAGGTGATTTTAAACGATCCCCAGACCCAAGATCTGTAGAACGGCTGCAGTCGGGGGTTGGGAAGAAGTCTCATTCTAGATATGCAGTGAGGAACAAAACTATAGGTCCTGTTAACACTTGCTCTGGACCCAGGAGCATCCATGGAAACACAAGGAAGCAAGGACTATCATAGAGCACAGACTTCAGGTAAGGAGGCGGGAACATGCCAAGAGCATCCTTATACAGTGAGGCTAGAAGTACTGATGTGTCCAGGCTACAAACTTAGACTCACGCTAGACACTCAAGTCAGCCCATTCCTGGGACCAGTGATGGCATCTGGCCCCATTATTCTGGGCAAAGTTCTCCTCTCTGCTACCACCTTTGATGCTCTTAATTCTCACATCCTTCTCTTTTCCAGAGACTGGTCTGAGCGTTAGATGTCACCTCCCCCCTCCCCCAAGGCAGTCATTGCTCTGTTCACTGGTCATCCTGTAAGCATTCCACCCAGCTGCAGTCCAGCTTTGAAGGCTCTCAGTGTTATTGCTGGACGTTAGCCTCACATCTCTGTCAGAGTTCCTCACCAATTCTTGTCTGCTTTATCTGCCACTGTTGGATGTTTGGTCTAGCCTATGTATGGCCTCCGTAGGTTCTTGAGGGATAGAGTGCACATCTCATCCTAAGAGATGTGGCCTAAGAGATAACACACTTCCACTCTCCCCCTGACCCTATTAAATGTTCTTTAAGTATTGTAGTTCTTATATTGACCATGATGCCAGTGCTATTTTAAACGTCCACATTTCAGAAGTGGGAAGACGGAAACTCAGGGAGGAAAAGATTTGCTAAAGGTCACTGAGTTGCTCAATCAATGATTCACAGAGCCTAGATTTAGACATCCACCTGCTGGAATCCAGAGCACTCTGCAGCAGTGTGCTCCAACATCATTCTTAACGTTTAATCTATGGTTCTTCATAACTCATGAAGCATGGGAACTCTTACAGTCTATGGAAATACTTACTAAATGCATAATAGCTTTGCCTGGCATTTGAACTGGTTACAAATGGTAGTGACAACTCATATCCCAATGGTCTTCCCCAAAGCTTTAGGTGCTACACCATTTCCTGCAGTTCTGCATCTGGAGCATCTGCATCAATTGATCTGTGGGCAGCACTGTATGGTTCTGGACTGGAGCTGGGTAGAGCAATCTACTCCACGTATCTCTCCCTCTGAAATACTCTGGTTGTTGCTGTTTCTGGGTTTGGGCTTTTCTCTGAAAAGGTGACTGGAAAATTTTAACATCAAGAACTAACTTATTCCATATCCATAGGAAATGCCTTTGGA